AATTTTATATAAATATATGAATGTAATTATTGATTGTTAGAAGTAATTTGACTTCTAGGATTGTATTTGCGAAATTGAACATAAAATTTGTAAAAACTGTTATAATTTGATAACAGCGAAAATTAAATTATTACAATGCTATTGTAATACAGTGCATATTCCATCATTCACAAATTGCATCTCACATCATGAATTGCATCTGTGTCAATGCATCTCACAGAGAACCAATTGCGTCACAGGACTTTTAATTTTGACCACATGTATATACATACCTCTCCATAATCAAATATCACTTTTGTATCTTGCGTATTCCTATTTATGATTGTTATAAAATTTTCATCGATTACATGCATATACTTCACCAGATTTTTGAATTGCATATACTGCGTAGGATTTGTAGTGAATCTACCTTGAGTTTTTTGTCTGTTATTTCTAGATTTGCAAGACATATTAATGATGATGTATTATACCAAAGTATTGAGACACATTCAATTTTAACATAGATAAGGAAGATAAGCATCAATCTGACGCCTACTGGGTCTTGGTTTACATTGTCCACTATGTAGGGAAAAACATATGAGTTTGCGAGGTAAGTGGTGGATCGATAAGCAAAGTAGTAAAACTTATTATTTGTATTGCGAAAATTTAAAAGGTCCAGGGATTCCTCTCATTAGTGATCACAATCATCATATTCATGAATATTCATTAAGGGGGTTACACTTATCAAATCATACAAAAATCCCTTAAAATTATATGTCAATTACTTGATTTTGATAAGTGTAACCCCCTTAATGAATATTCATGAATATGATGATTGTGATCACTACCTCTCATCAAGGTATTAGAAGCTTATCCTGAAAATTCAGAACTGATTCAGGAGTTAAAGACTCAATGCTTCACATCACATATCCCTTGGAACAATACCCTTAAATTCCCGGATAAAAGCATAGTAGTGGAGGCATAGAATAAAGTTTGCCCCACATTTCGGACTTTATCTTTTTAACCAGTGTATGCATGTATTTGAGTGTGGTGTTGGGTGTGGCATATACATTGGAAAAATAAGAATTGTAACGATAGAAGCCATTGTTTTTTTACAAAAAACAAAATCCCAATGTGCAACAATTCTTCTAAATCAGATCATTGATTCATGTAGGGGTGTAAGTGAATACCAAGCTCGCTACTCGATTGTATTAAAAAATCATAAAGTTTATACCATCGCGGACCTTTTAATTAGCGACAAAATGCTTTATTATGCATTAATGTAAACTTTTATATTTTCTTTAAAAATGTAAACCATGGCCTTATTTGATATATATTAATATTTTCCCGAATATAGTATTCTACCGATTGAGACTGAAATGTGACGGTGTTTTTCTCTGGGTGATATGCAAATACATTGGTCTCCAAGACTTCGTTGGCATCTTCGTACTTGTTGAAAAATTCCATAAACGCTGTAAAGCTAAGCTCCTTAGAATCCAATAAAGCACTGATGATGTGCTTCCCTACTTCATGATGCGGTTGTTTTTGGAGGAGTTGTGCAGATTGGAATTTTTTCTCGACTTCTCTTAAGATTTGCTGTTTAATGACTACAGAAAAAGAGTTAAGCAATTAATCCAAAGCAAAACTATATAAATTCGATTGACACAAAATATAAAATCAATATTACCTTTGAAGGACTGTCAGCCAGGAAATCATCCGCCACAGTCTTCAGCTCTACAATACAACCACCAACTAATTCATAGATTTTATTTGCTTCTGAAGAGCTAATTTTGCGCTTGTTGACCAGATAATCCATTGATTCCTTCTCGCTGAGATCACCAATTTCCATTACTGGTTTCTTTGCCCGTGACCAAGAACTACGTGCTAGAAATAAGAATCACAATCTGTAAGTAATACAATTTTTTTGAGAGCACCAAAAAACATTGTCAAATACTTACATTCCATTCTTTGGGGAACACTTCCTTCACTGCTGACAAACACGGCAATGTATTTTCTGTCATCAGCATTATCCTTGGCATCATCCTGAAGGATATCAAGGATTTCTGGATTCTTGTAAACTAGTCGGCTGATATTATCATAAACAATAATTGGTGGTTTGCCATACTTCTTTTTGTATATTATGGAAGCATGCTTAAAGGCATCCAAAGCTCTCACCCACTCGGGATATTTGATTTTCTCTGTAAAAGAGAATCAGTGTTAAAAATATGTTGTTGTTAAAAACAAAGCAGTAATAAACTCACTACTAGTATCGCCCAAGATTTTCCGTAATAGCTGTGCCGTGAAAGAGATATCCTCCTCAAATGAGAAGTTAATGGCTTTTCCAATCGCTTCACCCAATTTCATGATATTTGCAGGAATATCAACATATATAACACCTTGCCCAACTTCTTTTGCTGAAATTCTAGTCAATGTTGTCTTCCCAGTCCCATGTTCTCCACAGATAACTTGATAAAATGATTGATCTTCATAAGGCTGAAAAATTTTCTTTAGGCGTTCTACAACTACAGGTCGAGGAACAAACTTGTCATTTGAAATTCCCACCTTGGGTCGAGTGCCCTTTTCCACAGTTTCATTGAGAAGACGTTCGTTACATCTGTTTCGATACCAAGCGTATAGAAGGTCCACTGATATGAAACCAAGAAAGCCAGTTACAAATATTTTTGCCAGTATGGCAGTCTGCAAATAGTGAAAAGATGGTGAGAAACTCAACCGAGTAATGCAACAAACAACAAATATGTTCATACTGGAAGCCGTTTTGCAGTTATACTTGTAAGTTTCTTCCAATTGGAGGAGGCAGACTCATCAGGAGAGGTGTGGTGAGGTGGAGGAAGTGTGGAAATTGCATAAGATCTTGAGAGATATGATGGAAATAGGTTAAGTCTTAAGTTTCTCAACATAGGATTTTGTGGCTGAAGGAACAAGACTCGACAGGTAACAGAGTGACTCCACTGAAAGCACTGCAAGATACTGGAGGAAGACATTTCTGTTAGTTGGATCAAGTAAAGAATTTGATGCTAAAAGAAAGACTTCCAAAAATTTATTTAATTATTGACCATAATTACATCACCGTGCATTTTGTTATCGATCGATAGTGCGGTGCAACAAAAAAATTTTGCTTGCGTAACATAGATGTTCAATCTGTATGAAATTCTGCATGCATAATAATAATTGATCATGCGACAAATCTGACAAAAAAATCAAATTCGATTAATTACTTCATACATTTTGAGAGGAATTCTTGGCATAAAATACACCTGCATTATTCATTCTTTAGAGGGAGGCATGGAAGGAAAACTTTTAAAATGTCAGTATATCGAAGTTATATACATTAATGACATCTCCCTCTTCCATGTTATTATTATGCATATACTCATTCCGGTTTTGATATTGCAAATACTGTTTTGGATTCATAGTAAATTTGCCTTAAGTTTTACGTCTATTATTCTTAGATTTGCGAGACATATCTTATGTATAGTGAGTGATCAATACTAATACATTCAATTTTTTTCTAGCAAAGTGATCTCCGTTCCAAATTGGAACGCACGTGATTTTGATGAAAATAAAGCATGGACATCCACATAATTCTGATCGAGACAAATGGTCACATAGAACTTTACTTTATTGATATATCAAAAATGTAACCAAAAGAATAACATAAAAAAATCTTATCGCAGTTATATACTGCAGACGTAAAAAATACATCGTATTTACATGATGCAAATCATTCCTTTTTGAAAAAGGGAGCCAATGATGTTAATATCTTATCACCACTTTGCTCTTTCTGTTGATTTAACTTAAAAATTCTCCAGATAACTCGTAGCTATTTATCCAAGTTATGAGATAACTTTTTCTATTCTCAACGAGTACAGTTGAAATTTTATTTTAGTCGCTACATTCATAAAAACTACATTTTCTAAATCGTCAATTGGAATATCATTTTTATCTACAAGAAAAACCCTCGCGACGTCTTCATTTAACACTTCAATCTT